TATGTTTTACTTTACTTTTAGGGGCTTTGTGGAAATTTTAGCAGTCTAAACAGACCCCTGATATTTCCCTTTTAAAATAGAAAAAGAGACTGAGAACACAGAGTCCTCAATCTCTTTTTCTGTATCCCCTGTTATCAATGAACAGGAATCCTCTATGAGTGTTCCTGTTTATTGTTAACTTGAGAATATAGTATGTTTACTATAACCACAATTATGAATGAACAGGAATGGATATAGATCACTTCCCATTCATTCATAATTGAGGATATATTAACCATACCATATCCTCAATTATCTACAAACACTCAGCGATCAGTGATCGCTGAGTGTTGTAGCCTGCTTTCCTCTCTGACACGCTGTCACAGGAGGCTGAGTGAGCGGTGTAGAGAGGAAAGCTCAGCCTACTGTGACAGCGCTGCCTCCGCCCCCACACCTCTCTACCGCACTGTGATAGGCGGCAGAGCGGTGTGGGAGGAGAGACATCGGCCGCTCACAGAGCTCTTGTCTCGCAGCGCTCGGCCGGCTGTCACTTTCTCTCCTCCCTGCAGGGACACAGAGCAGCGACCAGTGGGTAGGAAAGAAATCACGGATGCGCTGATGTATAGGCAGAAAATGGCACTTTATTCACATTTACAAAATCACAGAAATAACTTTACCAGTATTCTTAACCAGTGGCTGTGCTTGTTTTCCACTTGGCTCAGACCCTTCATTTCAAAGCTTTACCTTTCTTTTTTTTAGATAAACATAAAAATAGATCAGCCTTATGTAAATACTTTCTATGTTTTAATACTTTGAAAGGCTTGTTTCAGTGTATAATTTGCTTATCAGACATGCAGGCTCTGCTTGGTTGTCGTTTACTGCTCCTTTTCACAAAGCAAGTTTAGGAGTTCAGACTCAATGCATTCCCCAAATGGCTGATATCTTATCCCAACAGCTGTTAAAGTGGCACTAAACTCAGGAGTTAAATCTTAAAAATCCATTCAAGTACCTTAACTATTAACAAAAATGTAACTTTTGTTCCTCATGGTCCCTCTGTGTGTTGTAAAGTAGCCACCACTCCAAGCTCACGCCCAGGATGGACTACAATCTCAATACAAATAAGTAAACTAAGCGTGAGATTGTAGTCCATCACGGGAGTGAGCTTGGAGCGGTGGCTACTTTACAACACACACGGGGACCATGGGGGAACAAAAGTGGCCACCCTCCAGAGGGAAGAATAGTGTCTGCACCAATGCAGGCATGATTGAGGATCTACATTTTTGTTAATAGTTAGGGTACTTGAATGCATTTTTAACATTTAACTTCTGCCTTGTGAAGGCCCCTCTGTGTAGTGTGGTCCTAACTTTAATCTTTGAGACCTTCTATCTTGGAGCATACATAGCAAATGATGAATTGGGCACAGGTTCACCAGAAGGCAACCCATAGATACACTAGAAGCCCAGCGCATCACAATGGCAGTTCAGGCCCCCAGTGTGTCCCCACACCAAATCCAACAAGGGAAATAAATGGCAAACGCACTCATCAATTCATAACTAGCTACCTCTACATGTACACCCCTTAGGCAGATCCACTCACCAGATGTATATGACTCACTGGTAGGTGAGGTCAAAATAGCACTTCCTGTAGAAGTAGAATGTAGACTCTCTCAGGTAGAAAACGTCCCCTTTAGGCTCTGTATCACTATCTTCTGTTTCTCATAAGTAGAAATACAGCTCCCATACCATAAATATGTTTAAAATGTTTATTCTTCAAAATCCTAAAAAATGAACACTCACAGATGTCCGGTGAGAGGTAAAGCCAGCTTAATTTATAAATTAGGTTGCATGGGACATTTTTTATTATATACTGTACATGTTGGGGGACTTGTTTGTGTATATTTGATTAGTAGGAGGTTACACTATATTTTTAGATTGCAGTGTTAATTGGATGGCATTAGTAGTTCACAGATAGTTTCCACTTGTTGATCAAAAACACTCTTTAAAATGATGAGTCTGACAGCATGGAAACCAAGGGAGCAGCATCTAGTGCCGAAATGCAAAAGTATTTCAGGCCTTGTACCATTTTTTCCGCCAGACCAACAAAGAAAAACATTCTCCTCCATGAGGCCCTGACGCAGCATTTTAGCCCAGGCCGCAGCATCTCAGTCAGGGTCCTAGAGACCACAGCCGAGGCCAAGAACCGGACGCAGATGGTACGCGAGACAGCCTCTGCCTTCTGATCCGTAGGATCCCAAAGGGAAGATTCCGACACCGGGATAACCGCAGAGGAACCAGGGTCCTGCTCCAGCGTCTCCCGGACTGAACGATTAGCACGGGTAACCAGTGCTCGGGCTTGAAACATGAGCGAGGCACCCGCTTCGGCCTCACTGCCCCAGTACGGCGTGGAGGAATCCCCCGTACCGGACGCACGCCGGCCGCAGAAATGTCCTCCTGCCCATCCGTCTCCCCCGACCGGGGATGGGCACGCCTCTTAAGTGGCCTCCGCGTCAGAGCGCGTGCAGTGCGCGAGACAATTCACAGTGGACAAAAAAATTGTTTAGGCATAAGGCAGTGCCTGCGGCACCGCTCCCCCCCGAACCATGGTACCAGAAGTGGGGTACGAACCCACGCGGACATATGTCCATTGGATCTTAAGTCCAAAGCCTTAACCACTCGGCCATCCCGGTCCCAAAGGGGGCAAGGGAAACCGGGAAAAGGGGAGCAGGAATACCCGCAGCGTAGAGAGGGGAATGGGAGGGGACCACCCAGACTGTACGTGCACCTGGGACCCCATAGCAGGGAGAGGGCAGACCCCCACAGTACAACAAGCACGGAGGCCGCCCACCATCTGCTCCCTGGTTTACCCTACAGTACATGATCCTAGATCTGTTCCCTGTGTCCTTCAATGAACGGAAGAGAAATTATTACTGTTTGTATATGGCATATATTTATTAGCTTAAGTGTTGTCAAGCCAAAGGCCAAAACCTATTTTCTAGTTTTGGATAGAATAGGATAGGGTTAGAACCTCCAGCTTGTTTTAAGGCTATCCAGGGCTCTATTAGAAAGATTTTCCCTCAGTTTTTGTCCTGTTGAAAATGATTTACCAGACAGGAAGTGAGAAGACCTCTCCAAAAGCACCACAGACAAAGAGTAGGGAAAGGCTAGAACCCCTGTGTTATTTTCATTTCTGTGTACGTTGCAAATTTTACCTTACTTCCTGTCTGTTGAAACCATTGTCACCAAGGCAGGAAGTAAAAGTAAATGCCTCTATCATAGCCCTAAATAGCAATAAAAACCCTTAAAGAGTTTAAAAAGAGCCTTTTTGGCTTTAGTTTAGGGATGCTCAGATTCCAGTTCAGATACCAGTGCCGATAATTAGCATTTTCACAAGAACTACCAAGGTTGCAGCGGTTGCAGCTGGGACCTGGCTCTGGCGCTCCACCACTGTCCTGAAATCATTAGTCTGTATTATTATAGAAAAATTGTCACATGACAATAAACAAAAATGTATCAGTACTTGTATCTGAGAGTACTTGGATATATAGCAGTACTTGTACTTGAAAATGTTTTATCCGTGCATACCTTATATATATTTATTTAAAAAAATCATACATTAAAACAGGGATGCACAAATCCCAGGAGCTCTGTATGCTCCTTAAAAATGGTAGCTGCCTCCTAACTTTTTGAATTTTTCTCTAGTCTAGTCTTGGAGCTAGAACATTATCTGCACATGTACCTGTACTTGTACAGAGTATGGTACTTGGTATATGAACATCCCTACTTTAGTTCTCTTGTGGGTCACAAGGGTACATTTACTATTGTACTACTTTAACCAAAAGCCAGAATAACCCACTATATGATCACAGCATGGACCTGTGATGCAGCTGGGAAGGATCTTGACAAAATTGTTGGGATCCACCCCGCGGCCTGCTTGACAGCTGGCTCTGCCTCTCTAGAGCCAGAGCTAGCTGTGCCCGGTCTCTCCCCTGTGTGTCCCCTCAATGAGCACTGGGGGGGAGGGGGGGAGAATCCATTCAGGGAGAGATGACTGACAGTAACTGCTCTCAGCATGGAGAGGATCGCAAGCTAAATGATCAGCGGTTTGTGATCACTCAGCTCTCAATCTATAGAGCCGGCATGTGACACCTGCAGTGTCACACGCCGACTCAAACTATTGGGAAGTGCATATTTTACTCTCCCAATATTTCTACTTTAAAATCTCCCCCCACTTTATCCAAAACTAGAAAAAAAGTTTGTGGCTTGCCATTCACTTTGCATATACAGTGTATCTCTCCCCTCTCTTTTGTCTCTCTACCTCTCTGTTAAGACCTAGCCTGGAGTTCAGCTGTCAATAACATACTTTTTAGGACATGAGTCCTAAAATTCCAATCTTCCTAAATGTACATACATATGGTTTCTTTATCACCAAAGTAGGTGTGATCATGGTATGGATAGTGCGCCCAATCTAATTGCATCAATCATTTATAGAAGATGAGTTAGCTAAGGGCTCACTCCCCAAATATAAATACAGGCATATGGGCATACAGTATATTGTCTCCATACAATTTTATGGACACAATACACAACAGCTGGGGCTCCCAGGCCTATACAACCTTTGCCCCCCACCCCAACTCTTGTCAGGGGTTGAAAGATTGCAGATTTCAAGCACAATACATATCAGAACTGTTTTTAGAGGAATTACCTATGGCATGCATCTAACATGCTGTCTAGCCCTCATGTCTTAGGCTGGCTACACTCCACTTAAGTTGGCCATACACTATGCAAATGTCAACCCGGTCTTTGATAAACCAAATTAAATTTGCACAGTGGGTGCCACTATCAGCACCCTTTAAGCCGGCATCCCTCGATCAGCCTATCAAAGGAGCTGTCTGGAAAATTTTCCAATGAACAGAGCCTGTAGCCAATGAGCTGCTAGTTGCATTCAGGTATTCTGATAGAATACAATGAAGACAGTGGGAGATTCCTCATTCAATGCTCATAAGTGTTGATGGAGGAATCTGTTATATTTTCTTTATTCAGCCCATAGGTTGAAGAAAAAAAAAATACAGTGTATGGGGAGCTTTAGGCTTTCCTCAGACTTGAAGTGTTAGATCAGCAAATTTAACAATAACAATTTAGTACGAGAGCCTACCTAAACAATACATTGAACCCATATCCACTCAAGTAGATCCTGGTATCACTAAATGTTGTTGTTAGCTAAAGACAATGTAGCTGGTGAGTGTCCAACTATAGATACAGGTGAGCGATATTCAGTATTTCCTTGCTCACCTAATTGTACCGAATGATTACTTGTTACTGAAGCATGGACCTTACATGTAGATATGCAGTCGTTCCAGAAACTGATTTTCCTTGTAATTGTTTTTATAGGGTGACAGTGGTGGCCCTTTAGTATGTCAGACGGACTACAGCTGGCGCTTAGTAGGAGTGGTGAGTTGGGGTATGGGATGTGCTGAGCCAAATCGCCCTGGAGTCTACACGAAGATTGCATCGTTTTTAGACTGGATACATAATATCATTGAGGTTAGTTTCTTTCTTTTCCTGGATCTAAATTAATTCCATATCCTGAATACAAATATATTATATATTAACCAAGATATTTTTCAAATATTATAGGATGATTAGAAGAGATAAAGAAGACAGAAGATGCCTGTATCTGAGTTTCCTAACCCATTCTAAACTTTAAGGGCAATATCTCCAATAGGTACACAGAATATTGATTCTTCCAGAGACCTCCAATTCTTACGTTGCTGTAGCCACCACACTCCATATACATATGTGTCAGTTATTTCTTTCTGCAGTGGTGCGAGTAGCTCACATACAGGACTGTTTGATTGCATGGGTATAAATGTCATTGCTCTATAGCTATACCATATTACATCAATAAAAAGCCAGTGTATCATTGGTTTATTTATACCATAAATGAGAGCAACACCAGGAATGGTTCCATATCTCACAATATTATAAAATACAGCACTCAGGCATATGTTAAAAAAGAAGTGATAGTGTTAGCTTAAATAACCAACTAGATAATTATATCTGCCATCAACTTCTATCTGGTTGATGTATCATTCTTTCCCATATACGTCAAAAACAACTGCCCAAAATAATTGTTTTGTGAAAAAAAATCATCTGCAAAGTGCAATTCCTATACCTTTTAAGTTTTTGTGAAGTCAAAATTGTATTTTCAGATGTTATATTTATTGAGGTATTATTATTATTATTATACATGCAGTTAAAAGCATAAACCATGGCACTGTACAATAAGTATAATAATAATGTGCCATACTTAAAGGGTTTATTTACCAAAAGCATACAGTAGCCTGTAAAAGGAAATAATACATACTTTGTTGGCTTACCATGGGTTTCGTCACAGTGCTTTGTACAGTATGATTAAATAAGACAATTGCATTTTTCAAGAAAAGTTATACAGTGCCTGCAGGCTAATTCAAGTTACAGTACATTAAAGGGAAATTCCAGTCAATGCTAAATAAATCAGTGCTGAAACAAATCCAGTGTTAGGATACCTAATTATTACCTGTGCTTAGGATGCCGGAGTCTGTTGGCAAGCATTCATATGATATAGCTTAGCTATTGAATTCAGCGCATTCATGCCATCAATAGTAATATCGGGACCCTCTGTGTACTGGCTTGAGGTTCAGGGTCAAATACATTTTCAGCTGGATCCTTTGTAAAGGGTTTTGATGCATGATGCCCCCAAGTTGCACCCCTCCTGGTTTGCTTTAGTAATAATTAATATTGCAGGCAGGAGAATGAAGTGCTAAAGTGAACAAGCAATGGTTGGTGTTTATGCACAGATTGAGGATACTTCTGCCATCAGGTATCACTAACAGGCAGAAGTCAGTGTAGGTGGCAGCAAGATAGATCAGATCCTAAAAAGCCAAGGTCTTTACCAGAATATCAGCAAACGTTAAAAGCACAGTACAAAGGGCCAGCATCAGAAGAACTTTTTTATGTTCAGGAGCTTTCCTGTGCAACATGCAGAATTTATATCTATGGCTTTGAACATCAGAGCACAGTTCAATCAAGACTCTGGTACATTCTTAATAAGACTGCAATTGGCCAGTGGAGATTTACACTTATATCACAGGAGACAGAGACAGGTAGGCAGGTGCTGTTTTCTTGTAGTAAGTTTATCTAACTTGGGTGCAGACATGGCTACTCAGAGCCTCACTTTCCTCCTTATGACTTACTGTTGTGTTGAGACCCAAGGAGAAGAGTCTCACTTTCAGTGGGCACTAAGCTGGTGTTTGAGTGGGCAGAGCAATGTGCAATAAATGGGCAGAAAAGTCTGTACATTACAACCCATACATTTTACAATTACGATTCAGACATGGACTAGGCACCCCCTGCCACATAGGCTGCTATGGTTGTAGTTACACTCTTGGGAGGAACCTTCAACAGCAAGACTTTTTTATCAGAATGCTGGAAGCAAGTGAGTTACAAGTATCTTACATAACTTACTAGATGCTACTGATTGCTCACTGGAGGAATTATCCATTTAGCAAAAAAAACCTCAGAACTGTCAGTCCTGAGGGTTAATATATTACAGTATTGCTGCTCAGTGTTCTATAAAGAAAAAGAAATGAATGTAGAAATCCATTTCCTGGTGACGAAATTTATTAGAGTCTGTTAAGTATGTAATTCAGCAATCAGCCCTGAGCAAATTGTAGACCTTTACTGAACCAGAATACAAAACTGTTCTATGTTATCATAGCCCTGAGTTCTGCCGACATGTGTTAAATATAGTGCGTGCACAGATAACGTGAATTCCATTTCATGTCCATTTATAAAAAGATTTGCGTGATGGATTTTCATGTAATTAGTATAATTGATTGCTTCAGTAATTACTCTAAGTCATGTGCTGGTGTTTTTGCTCCGTTCTTGTTGAAGCGATATAATAAATCTTCTTTAACTAGTTTTGACAGTTGTATGCTATATGGGGACTTTTTTCACATTGAGATATTTTATAGCTAGGGTAGGCAAATACAGACACTGTAGCTGAATTTTCAATTCTGTAATACAGCCTGGCAAAGAGTGCAGAGCAAATTAGGATAACCGATTTTGTTTTGTTTTTATGTTTTGTGAAAATGCATGGCAGGTTTTTTACCCTATCCCTTTTGTATACAAATCACTTTTCTTATCCCTTAAGTGGGGCTCCATCAGTCGTGTGTAATGACACTATTGTGGGCACAGTGTGATGATACTTTGAGGTGCATGGCAAAACAAAAGTTGTCTCAAAGTATTCCCAAAAAACAATTACAATCCCTCAATACTAGTATACACAGGTGATATACATTAGCCTGTAAAGCGGCACATTCAGCAAACATTTAGCAAGCTTCAGCAGGCATTTATTAAGCATTCAGTAAGTGACAACACTATTAAACTCAAACTAAAGGCCGCTTGGATGGCTTCAAGAAAGCTGTTTCATGCTTTTTAGAAAGTTATACTTTTCAAAGTAGCATTTACAAGCTAATACTTGCTGTAGACATTGGAAGGTAGTTTTACATGCAGACAAAATCTGCCAGCCCTCAGGTAATTGTGGCCACATTGTGCGACCATTAAAGGCTATGTGAACTTATCAAATAGAAAGCAGGCTATCATATTTGGGAGACAACGCTGATCAGTTGTCAATCATTTAAAAAATAAAACTGCTATCTACCCAACATTTCAATTTTATGCAGTGGTCACATGAACTCATGAACTCTTTCCCAGTGCGGGAGGCGTGGTCATCTAGTCTGGATGCAGGCAGCAACATGACATGCAACGGCAACATGACAATGACACTGTTGTGGGTCATGCAAGGCTGGGTGAGGGGCGTAACTAGCTATACTCAACTCTGCTGCTGTACTAGCTGCGAGCAGCTGCCGCCAGCCACACTCCCCTCACTCAGTCCCTGCTATGTTGATTGACAGCGAAGCTTCTGCTGAGCATGGCTGTATCAAAACAGCAGGGCTGGGCAGGGGGCATGGCTGGCTATACTATGGGAGATGCAAAAATACAGAAGGGGATCTGGCAGGATCATCAAGTATTTGTCAGCAATCCGATAAATTAAAACATACTATTGAACATCTACAAACATCTATACATATCAACAGACACTTACATGAAAACTGCCATATTTGGGGAACATGCACTCTCATGTTTAGCACATGGAAAAGGATGAGGTAGGTGTACTGCAGACACCTCTATCGCTGACTTGGAGAGAAACCAATCATTTGGAAGTTTTGCAACATCTTCAGTCATTTTTCCCTCCAAACAAGCTTTACTTGATGATGTCTTCTGGCATACATTGGTTTGTCTCCTAAGTGGACTGCATTGGTAAACTGTCCTATGTTGTCAACTGGAAGCATACCTCAAGACAGAAAAATGGGCAGATGTTAAAAAAGTGTTAGCTTAAATAACCAAATAGATAATTATATCTGCAATCAACTTGGCTATCTGGTTGGTGTATCATTCTTTCTCCTGCACCATATTGCCCGAAATGATTGTTTTGTGAAAACAAAATGTCTTTTGTATTTATTGAGGTCATATTATTATTCAGATTGTTAAAAGCATAAACCATGGCACTGTACAATAAGTATAATAATAACGGACCCTAATTACAAAGTGTTTATTTACTAATAGCAAAGAACAAAAGCATACAGTAGCCTGTAAAAGGAAAAAATACATACACTTTGTTGGCTTACCATGGGTTTTGTTACAGCGCTTTGTACAGTATGATTAAATAAGACAATTGCATTTTTCAAGAAAAGTTATACAGTGCCTGCAAGCTAATTCAAGATACAGTACATCAAAGAGAAATTCCAGTCAATTCTAAATAAATCAGTGCTGAAACAAATCCAGTGTTACGATACCTAATTATTACCTCTGCTTAGGATGCCGGCATCTGTTGGTAAGCATTCACATGATGTAGCTTAGCTCTTGAATTCAGCGCATTCATGTCACCAATAGAAAAGGTGGGATCCTCTGTGTACTGCAGATACCTCTCTTGTTGACTTTGTGAGAAACAACATCTTCAGTCATTTTTCCTTCCAAACAAGCTTTATCTGATGATGTCTTCTGATATACATTGGTTTGTCTCCTAACTGAACTGCATTGGTAAACTGTCCTCTGTTGTCATCTGGAAGTATACCTCAAGACAGAAAAATGGCCATGGGTATTTATTAAACAGCCCCGATGCTGGCGACGTACACTGTACGTCGTCAGTCACGAAGGGGTTAATCCTTCAGTATTTCCCGTACCAAAACTTTCAGGTTTTGCTATGACTTGCAGTTGTAATTTTTAGTTCTTTTGCTGCATTTACTGCTGCTGAAATCTAGCAATACAGCATAATCATAAGACCTAAAACCTGGTGGCTTCCTATGTATTTCAATAGGAGGTCCACAGGGAATTACACAGTTTCTACTGGAAACCCACCTAGCTTGTCCCTACATGTTCTGCACATTAGTGGACAAACCTCATTCATTCCTAAGGAAAGACCATCTATCACTGGGTCAGAGGTTGGGAACACTGAGGTAAACTGTTATACTTTAACTTGTATTTAGCATTATATGCCCCTTGGCCAAAATAAATGTTTCCTGCTAATGATCTGGTCTTCACAG